AGAGAGAGAGAGAGAGAGAGAGAGAGAGAGAGAGAGAGAGAGAGAGAGAGAGAGAGAGAGAGAGAGAGAGAGAGAGAGAAGCCCTGAGGAAAGAGGGAGCTTACCTGGTGAAGAGAAGCAATAGCCACATTAATGAAGAAGAAGCCTCTCAAGGCTACAACGGGCCATCATACTTCGAATAAAACTTCATACTTGTTTCGCTGGACCTCTGGCAGGTTAGACTGAACTGGCGTTGGTTGGAGAGGTTGGAGAGGAGGTTCCGTGTAACAGTTAAGCAGTTGAAGAGAATAGCCCACCATGACCAGGGTGGATGAGAGGTGGTGAGTTGAGGGAGACGCACACTCTGAAGGAGAAGTGACATGACTGTAGTCCGCTGCCGCTTTCTTTTTTTTTTGCCGTCCCTGCTTCTTTCTCCTTCGATACTCGTGTGCAATGTCTTCCGCTGCTTTCACTAATGATTGGTTGATTCAAGGCTGGATTGACATCGCTCCCTCAAGCTCCAAAAATGAGACAAAGGTTGTGCTTTCCCTGACACTTTGTGGAGGTTCAAGATTGCACGTCTTCTTGTGGAAAAGAGGAGGCAAAACCTCGTGTTTTGTTTTTGTTTTTGAATTTCCCCCCTCTGAAACTTTTGTCTATTTCGACTCTATTGATTTTTAAATTTTAATATGAAACTTGATGAAAGGAAAAACCCTGTGTTTTGTTTTGTTATGTTTTGTTTTGTTATGTTTTGTTTTGTTTTGTTTTGTTTTTGAAATTTTGTCTTTCATTTTTCTATATTTGATATGAAGTCTCCGTCTTCGTTTCATTTGCTTCTGGAGACCCCAGCATCTATGTGCACGCTGCACATGATCTGACCTTCTGTATGTGCTGCGCTCATTGTTTTCTGTCATTTTGACTCATATCATTTTGCAGGTTATTGCACTTGCGGACTACCGGGCGCAGCTGTTTGAGTACCTTCGCAGTCGAATGAGTGCTATCGCACCGAATTTGACGATTCTTGTGGGGGAGCTGGTGGGGGCGAGGTTGATTGCGCATGCAGGGAGCTTGACAGGTCTTGCTAAATATCCAGCAAGTACAGTTCAAATTTTAGGTGCAGAGAAGGTGCGCGTGCTGCCTGTTATCATCTGTTGAAGTGCTCTTTTTTTTCTTTCATTATAATTTGTGCCAAGGAATATGAGTGGGAATGATATACAGAAAACCAAGTTGCAAAATCACACAGATGTCCAGGTAGTCGTGTCCATGCAGAGAGTACAAAATGCACCGAGGAACCATCCATACAGAGCAATACAATGAAGTAATGAGCCGATGTTCAAGCCCGTAGGCCACACCAACACAGTATCCAGAGTCACTCCTCTCTGTCTGGCGCCCAGCGCCCAGCCTACTCTACCCGACTATCCTACCTACAGCTGGTTCACACAACAGGCTCACTTCGACTGTCGAAGACCAATGCACATGACTGTCAACACCGTAGCTGATCCCCTCTTCATGTACCAGGTACGTATCTCATCACCCTCAGTCAGACCTTGATTTCCCCACACTCGCGTCCTTCCCTGAAGACCACCCTATCGCCCACATTACCCCCTGGCGCCCAGCAGCCCGGCTATGGATGCCTGCGCCCCGCTGCCCTGCAGCGCCCCACTGCACTGCTATGTGCCCCGTCAGCGCCCTTGGCCGCAGCGCAGCATCAAGCAGTAGTGCAGCAGCACTTCCGCATTGCCAGCACCGGCCAGAATGCCTGGCCTGGGCTGCCTTACTTCTTTTATGGAAGTGGCAGCCTCCTGGATGCTGCGTGTGGCCTGGCTGGAAGCTTCCAGTAGCTGGGCCTCAGACCCTGCGCCCAGGCCCGAGACTACAGTTGAGGGCCTGGGCCCTTTTCAGTTGGGCACGGCCTGAGTCCCCGGACTTGGGCTGTTTGCTGCATCTGTGCAGGGCTCCCAGGTAGGTGCGTCGGCAGTACTGCTTTTCCAAAGGCCGATGGCCTGCTTCTCAATGTATCGTTCCTGCTTTGTGTGTATGTGCCCAGGGGCAACTGTCAAGGCCTGGGCCAACTGTACGACACAGCTTAGTGAGGCTCACGCGTCTACCCAACCAACTGGCGTGCTGCGAGAGCCTGAATACCCACATATGGAAATGTCAAAATTTGGCCTTTGACGAATATTCAGGCCCGCCTTCACTTAGGGCGGGCACTCGGCTTGCTGGGGCCTTAGCCCAGAACATGTGCCCCTTGAGGGCTCGTTCCTCACATTTGGAGCATTTCTCGATTTATGCATGTCAATGATGTCATCCTTGCGCAGGGGGCATGCTAATCTTCTCCGTATCGTTCCTAACGGATGTCCCGAAGGACAGAATTGCTCTTTTCTTTTCTTTCTTTCTTTTTTTTGTGCAACGACCCGCACAGTTACAGTCTTTCTGCGGAAGCCGATATCTTTTGAAGTTTTGAGCTCATTTGCTGAAATTTCTGAATCTGGGCAGCCTGTGTGTCCGCGTGTGTCTGACTGATTCTGAGTCCGAGTCTGTAGTAATGTGCTAACACTTTTCTCATGCTGTGTTTCTGCATCCCTGGAAAGTGATAGACTAGTAAATAGGTGTAGTTGCAGGGACATGATTGGAGTTTCGTGACAGGAGGATTTACGGGGAGTTGTAGGACAGCGCCAGGGGTAGGAGTAGAATTCGGTAGGGAACTGGTGGGGATTTTTGAAGCAACTTGGGTAGGCCCTAGAGCCCAGTGGCTGGCTTGGTGGGGTAATGATGGTGCCGAGTCCAGATTGATGTCGGTTCGGGCATGTTAGGGGCTGAGGTCACTTGCAGTCTGCCATGGCGTCTCCACCAAGAGTGGAAAGCAAAAAGTAGTCCAGGTAGCACACCAGTAGGTCCAAGAAGTCACCCATGTGAGGCAAGTATAGCCCGGGGGATTGTTTGGTGTGATGGGGAACCCGGAAGTTTGCCCAGCCATGATGCTGCTGCTATGCCAAAAGGGAGCGGTTGGCGGATCAAGAGGATGACGATGGGTTTGACGGTGATGAAGGAGATCTCCATGGCTATGAAGGAGTGAGCAGGATGAAGTGGCGGAGTGGTCTAGCAGTGGAGGAGTGAAGTAGCGACCACATTGGTCAATCGAGGCAAGGTGGAGGCTTCAGTCGAGTGAGAGGAGCAGAACGCAGCAGGGGACCGACAACGGCGACGAGATGATTGACCTTTGGCTATGGTGATTTTCGCCTTGACTACCTTGGTTGGCACTGCATCAAGAGGGTTCTGTTGGGGAAGCGACTGGACATGGACTTCACCTGTGAGTGAGGCAAGGTGGTTGTAGGTAGTAAGAGCGGTAGTAGTGGTGTGTTGTCCTCTGGGCATCCCACATGAAGCTGGGATTATCCACCATATTCGGTAGCACTTCCAGGATGAGAGAGAGAGAGAGACCTGTCTCTTATACACATCTAGATGTGTATAAGAGACAGGAGAGAGAGAGAGAGAGAGAGAGAGAGAGAGAGAGAGAGAGAGAGAGAGAGAGAGTCGGGAGCAGACGGAGAGTTCTTTCTGTGCAAGCAGTGAGGGAGATCAATTGCATCTTGGTCCCTCCTTGTTCATTCTGCAATGATCCTTTGGTCATTATGATGGAGGCGCGATGACCAGGGAGATGACATTGGTTCAATCTTCTGCCTCCTCCTCCTCCTCTCTTTCTCTTGCTTTGCGCATTTCATTTTCCCGTTAGCTACGATGAATGACAAATTGAGATCTGCATCATGAATGAGCCTGAAATTGGGTTTTGCTGCTGAACTTCCGCGTCGTGGATGAGCCAGCTCTTTTTCCCCCCGTTGTGCTGATATGAGAGTGGACGGACGACCAATGCCGTCCTTCGGACCTCCACACCACAAGGGGGAGGAGCGTGAGTGCGTATATCCTTGTATCATTTTCCGGCTTGCCGGTTTGTCTCATGCTTGTGCAGGGGCCATGCTAATCTTCTTTTTCTGTGTCATACTATCATTTCAATTTTAATGGATGTCATTTCAATTTTAATGGATGTCCTGCAAGGACACAGGATATGCTAGCTTGGCTATGTTGTTAATGAGACATGGAGAATGAGAATGTGAATGCTGAAGAGTAATAACTCTAGGATCAATAACTAGGGGATGGGTTTGTGGTTGCGATGTGTCTGTTGCAGGCATTATTCCGAGCGCTGAAGACGAAGCATGAGACGCCCAAATATGGGTTGACTTATCATGCGTCTTTGGTGGGGCAGGCAGCTCCCAAGTGCAAAGGGAAAATTTCAAGAGTTCTTGCTGCAAAATGTGCACTTTCTGCAAGGGTGGATGCTTTTGGAGAGTCTGAAGAAGGGGCGATCGGCTTTGACAGCAGGTTAAAGGTGAGCGGGGGGGGGAGGAGGAGGTAAAGGCAGTATCCACTTTCATTGTTGTATCTATCGAATTCAGCAGGATTCAAACTCGTGAGCTGTTTACTACAGCTACATGAGCTTGGTGGAGTAGATGTTGTTGGCTTTCCTTAGTAACTGCTTTTGCAAGGCCTGATCTCCCACAGCTAGAGTTGATCAGCTGCTCGTTGTTCTGCCTGGCCTCGGGAGTTGTTCGTCCTTGTTGGGAATGATACACTGTCTAAGGCCTGTTGTATGGCCAGTTCATCCAGCAAGGAACATTGAGTGTGTGTGTGTGTGTGTGTGTGTGTGTGTGTGTGTGTGTGTGTGTGTGTGTGTGTGTGAGAGAGAGAGAGAGAGAGAGAGNATTAAAAACGTAAAAAAAAAAAAAAAAATCTTAATGAATCTTTTGCCAGAAAATGGACACATGCATCACCACTTTTTTTTTGTCTATTGTGCATGTGGAGAGCAGTGGAGCAAGGGCCCAACCGTACGTACCAATCAAAAAGTCGGCCACGCTACTTGCTGAGAGTTACATTTGAACAGTCATGCAGTCTTGGATCCCCATCTTGGCCCAGCGAGCGAGAGAGAGAGGGGGCACAGCACTCTGAATATGAGTGTGGCACTGCAGACGGCCACATGCGCCACAGAGAGAGAGAGAGAGAGAGAGAGAGAGAGAGAGAGAGAGAGAGAGAGAGAGAGAGAGAGAGAGAGAGAGGGCAATCGCATGTGCGCGCATGCGCCAGAGAGAGAGAGAGAGAGAGAGAGAGAGAGAGAGAGAGAGAGAGAGAGAGAGAGAGAGAGAGAGAGAGAGAGAGAGGGCGGGCGACAGGGATGGGAAGGGAGATGGATGATGTAATATTGACTTGGTCGAGAGTGCATGTTATGTGTGGCATGTGTCCTAGTTAGTAAAGATGGTTAACTACAGCTGATGAGCCGTCAGCCATGGGTTTGAACTTCGTATCCACTCTGGATGTAGCTGGCTGGACAACGACTAGGGTATTCAATCGATCATTAATTTCTCAACAAAGCAAGGCACCCTGTGTAGAGTTGCAGGATGGGTGTAGAGTTGCAATAAGCTCACCAATGGACCTTAGTTCTTGATATCCCACTCTAGTCCTTGTCTGAGGGCCTTAACCATCTGGTGTTTTGTTCGAGATTGGGAAGCAGCAACCAGGCCATCACTCAGTTGGCTGGCCAGTCACACAAGTTCGTTATTATTGTCGTTAGTATTACATTGCTATATTAATAAACACTAATAATATTTATGCATTTGAAGTATTTCATTGTATTATACTATGAATCTATGATGTAATTTATGTTATCATTATTTTATTCATATTATTATTGTTACTAATTATTATTATTTTTATGTAAAGAGTACTGATGACCTGCAAAGTCACAGACTGAAAGACCTACTGTTTTCTGAGTTTGGCCGCTGGACTGACTGACTTGCTGAGATTCCTGTATTCTGCCGAGATTTTTAAGTATGTGCGTGTAAATCGGGTCCGAGGCTCCCATATCATCTCGAGGGCAACAACACGGCTCGCCTAACACAACGCAGCAGTCACCACACTATCAGAAAGGCGACGTACAGAAAACCTATACACTCCTACAGTCAGGCGGCGCCATGCCCCTGGTCAAGAGCCTTGCCAAAATACGGAGTTGAACGAGCTGACGTACAGAAAAACCACTCCGTTCCAACGGGTTGGTGTCTCAGCTCCTCTGGCGAGAAAACTTGCTTCTGAGCCGACTTGAATAGGAAAGAGACTACCTCCAGCTTGAAGATGAGGTAGTACATACAGCCTCCATATCGAAGACCAGCGGCGCCAAAGCACCACCCTGATCATAGCTCTGTATCATGTTTGAAGGCAGACTCGCTGCAAAGAGAACAATCACACCACGCAACACATCACACCGACACCTGACACTCACTCAAGTGCACGCCAAGGCCACGTCCAAAACGCACGGGTACAGTTATCATGGCCCGACAAGCCCAGTTATCATGGCCCGACAAGCCCAGTTATCATGGCCCGACAAAGCCAGCTATCATGGCCTGACACGCCCTGCAGGGCATGAAGACCCAGCTTGGGTTAACTGCTCTCAACCCCGAGTCTTCTGTCAGCCGCTGCGGGCATGGAGCACCATGCTGCCTAGCAACGTGCCGCTGTGGTCAGCCCACCAATTTCCGTTATTCATATTATTTAATAATAAATAATAATAATAATAATAATAATAATAATAATAATAATAATAATAATAATAATCACTATTATTATTATTTTGTTATATTATGAATCCCAACGTTTTTGTCAATTCACAACCACGAAGCTTCATTCTTTTTTCTGTTTCTTTTTTTCACCCCCTCTCTATCGGGTCTTATTCCTCACGAGACCCCACCCACCCTCCTGTCATCAATTTTTTCCTGGTGCACCCTCCACTACCTCTGTTGTAACTCAGTTTCTACCACCCCGGCCCATCATCGTCTACCACTTCTTGGCGGGATGACCTGACCAGACAGTGGTCACGGGCACCAGTGCTGAGCAGGATATCCCATTCAGCCCTGGTTGAAGCATAGTTGAACGGACCTTGTTGTACGGGTACTTTGGATGCCAGGCATGGACCTGTTTAACCTCTACAGGCCCCATGAGTAGACCCATAACTCGTGATGTCCCCCAGACTGTCGTACCGAGAGTACCCTTACATAGCTACCACAAGCAGTATCTAATGCCCCCCCCTGCCAAGCCAAGGTCTATAACCCACGGCACCCCAGGGTCGCTCTAGGTACTTCCGACTACCGTCTTCACCCGAATACAAGGTATGGTCATTATAGCTGTATTTGGGGCAACTTTGACTCTACATACAGCAATAATGACCGTACCTTGTATTTGGGTGAAGACGGTAGCGCAGCTATTCTGACCAATGCGCAAAGCCCACATCTCAATTTTCATATCTTTTTTATTGTCCATGTCGGCCCTAAACCTCTGTCTTAACTCTCAAGTCACAGCATCTGTCAGCAACTGGAATTACCCTACCGTCTTCACCCGAATAGAACGCACCGTCATTATAGCTGCATTTGGCACAAATTTCGGTCCAGATGCAGCGATAATGACCGGGCGTTCTATTCGGGTGAAGACGGTAGTCTCCAGTTCTCAATGGATGACCCCCGTTTCCTTTCGTCAACTTGCTCCACTATCCAGTCTCTCAGTCGTCAAGAGAGGCCACTTTGTCTTCGTCATCGAGAAGAATCCGCCAATCTCTACCCCTTACAGCACCGGTCTAACTCTTCAAGTCACAGCATGTATCAGCAGCAACGGGAATTACTCTCGTCTCCGGTGGTCAGTCGTCAACTGTCATCAAGAGAGGCTACCCTGTGTCCGTTATCGAGAAGGGTCCCCCAATCTCTCTATCCCTCACAGCATCTGTCAGCAACTAGAATCACCCTACCGTCTTCACCCAAATGGAACGCCCACTGTATCTAGACTGAAAGTTGCCCCGAATACGGTTTATATTAACAAGGCGTTCTATTCGGGTGAAGATAGTGGTTTCCGGTCCTCGACGGACAACCCATGCTTCCTGTCATCAACCGGCTTTGCCATTCGGGATGCTCTGACAAGCTATAAAGAGGGCATACCCTCCCCCATCCCCCTCCTCCCAACCCCTCACATGGGTGGTGTTATTTGAACTTATTTCCAATTGTCCTTAGCTTTTAGGACTCCGAGTGTGGGTTGCACTCACCTCTACTTTTTCTTTCTTTGTCTCTGTGTTTTGTTGCAACTATGATTGGTTTTATCTTAGGTCGAAGCAAGGGTTCGGCAATGTGAGGGCAAGGCACTGGGTAAGATATCTGGAGCTGGAAAAGGAAAGGCAAAGCTGGAGTCCTACAACAAGGATAGGAAGGCTGATGCGCCAGCAATTCTGACAGATGCTAAGGTGAGCATCCTTAAAGTGGTACCAGTTGATATTTGGTTAGCTGAAGCTTGTGTAGAAGCACGCACTGCTGGATATGTAGGGATCTGGGAATTGTTTCACATAAATTTGTCAGAGCGGAGAAGTGGAACTCTCTCTCTCTCTCTCTCTCTCTCTCTCTCTCTCTCTCTCTCTCTCTCTCTCTCTCTCTCTCTCTCTCTCTCTCT